TGAACAGTGAGGTTATCTTCGGGAGAAGTTTAGATCGAATTTCGGTCTATTAGTTACGCAACCGTTCGTTTCCGGTTCCGATAGCCAACCGTTTTCTTTGTTTACACGCTCTACCACCTGAGTGCGCGACCGCGCGCTCGACCGCTACACTCTATTTACCGATTATTACCGCAACCAGTGTTGGAATCGAATTCCAATCATAACAGGTATACCGTAGAGAAAGGCTGTTAGTAGTGGTCTGTATAACAAATACGGTACAAAACACAACAAACCTCCCGATATGTCTAATGTTAGGTTTAGTCTGTGATTATATTTAAAAAATATTTGTAATTTTTTCAGTAATCGCTGAACAAATCGGGGGTCCGATAGACCAACACTATTGGGTGTAGTAATACCTGCTGCCATTTGAAATAAATAAATTTTATAACATATTTTTGTAAAATTATCTTATTAAAAAATATAATTATTTAAATCAATTAAAAATTAGTATCTAGCAAGATCATATTAAAGACTAGTATGTAATATCAAAATAAAGCTTATGTTATTAACCATTTGTTGAATGTTTATAATAATAATAACTTTTATTAGCCATAACATGTTGGTTAATACAATAATTTAAATTGAATTAAAAATCATGATTAAGATTCACAATAAAAAGTTTTACAATTAGTTAAAAATGATAAAATTAATGTTGACCGTAAACAGTATAGTTTTAAGCTTTTAGTTGACTAATTAACCATGATTACTGCAACACATAGTTATTACAGTGTTACATATTATGCTTTACATAGTTTACTGTTACGACAAATTATTAATTAATCACATTAATAACTAATTTGCAGTATAATATAGAATGTATGCAAAATATTTTATTTAATAAATGTAACATACATGTATATTTAAAATATGATGATTTTATAGATTAATAACTAATTTGACATTTCCATACTAGTGTTCTACCATAAATTCGGGTACATTAATGACATTATCCATTTTATTACATGTTTACAATATTTGTACCAAAGTTACATTTTTATTCTCTATTAATAAACTGTGCGTAAACTCTATATTATACATAACGCAGAATTCGGAGAAAATATATTAAAATTAATCATCTAGTCACAATATATCAAGTGTTAACGTTATATCAATATATCCTAAAATACAGTGTATGTGAACAATTATTTAAAAATCAATACGTAAATACACAATGACATATTTAATCAATCATTTATTTATTTAGTATATTTGGTGTATATAAAGACAATCATGATAATGTTGAGATAATTTAATATAAAAGTTAAGTTTAGTTTATTGATTTAACTATTGTCAAAATGTTTGTCACCGTATTAGGCTATCTAGCCTGTATTGTGTTTCAAAATGATCATATCGTGCCCGATGTCATTAACGCGTGCCCATCAACAACAAGCAAGGTAATAATAATATATTTAAATTAACTTACATTAATACATTTAAAAATAATTAAGTTCACATTTAAAAATATTATTTGTTTGATAACATCAACCACTAAAATTTGACAAAGCAATTAAATGTTGACATTGTGCATTTTGTTAGATAACATTCCCAGGCAAAGTAGCAGTCAATCTGGGTACTCACCTTACCCCTGATCAGACCAGTCAACAGCCCCAAGTAGAGTGGCCAACTAAATGCGGCGGGTTATATACGTTAGCAATGGTAGACCCGGATGCGCCCAGTCGTGCTGAGCCCACTTTACGCAATTGGCGACACTGGCTAGTGATGAACATACCGGGCAATAAAATTAATAAAGGTGATATTATTTCCGCATTTGAAGGCCCAGAACCCCCGGCGGGTTCGGGTTACCATCGTTACGTGTTTTTGGTTTATGAACAAAAACAGGGTTATATTAAACCGCCATCTCGTGATGATGATGATGATGATCATAGGGGCAGTTTTAGCATTAAGGATTTTGCCACCAAATACAACTTGGGCGAACCCGTGGCCGTCAATTATTTTCAAGCCAAAAATTAATATATGACTAATTATATTATTTGACAACGTACAAATTACTAAAATATCTAAAATAATATCTAAATTTTTATGATTACGTATTTTGTTAAGAATTATTTTTAAAAATAAAAATGTTATCTATAATAATATACATAATGTACATAATAATAATTAGATACTAAACTACTAAAAAATGTACTAAACTTCATATAACTTAGTTAGTTCGTATATTCATAATAAGGCTGTAAATATTATAAGATAATAGTATAATTATGCAGAATTATACTAAATTAAAACAAACATGGAATTTGTATTGAACAAAAGTTGTTTGTTATTTAATTTTTATTTTAAATTAGTTTATTATTGTTAGGTAAGCCGTGCGATAACAAAAATATGATTTAATTAATACGTGGTGATTGAGTGACCAACTATTATTCAAAATCCTCGTTACTAATTATAAAATAGAAAAATACCTTAAATTATATGCTTTTATTATAATGTTAGAGTTGAATGATAAAGGTTATATGTTTAAACCCCACATATAACTTAAAATATGTCATTGTTACAATTTAATGTTTTTACTGCGTTATAACTAATAAGTATTGTAAAGTAAAATATATAATGTAAACTTAAATTGTTTGCAAAATAATATTACTTATTATGTTCAAAATATATTTTATAAACTTGTATATATTATAAATTAATAAATCAAAATATATTTCTCGTTTTTGCACCAATTATATTATTAACTAAATTCAAGTTAAGTAATTATGAGTGCATAGTCAATTATTAAATTGAATAGCATTAGGTGACTGCATTAGAGAAACACTTAAATATATAACTCCATAAAACAAATATATGACAACATTGTATTTATTATTTATTTGCTACAGTTTGTATAATTTGATTAGTACTGTGTATAGTAATATACATTATATGTATTAAGAAATAAGTATTAAGATATGTATTAAGAATAAATTAAATATGTATTAAAAAATCAATAATCAATATCCATAGTAATATAATTTTGTTTAATCATATGCTATTACGTTATGTTAAATAATTTAAATAAAATATTATTAATTTAATATGATATCTAAGTTATAATGTACAATATATGTTTAAATAACATATTAAGCAAACATAAATTACCTGATAAACCACCAAGCAATTGTTTAATTTTGGCTGTCTTCAAAAGGACTATTTATAATTTTATTGATTATAGTATTATAAGAATAATGTTTTAAAACATGTTGTACTTACAAAAATTAATTACTATCAGAACTAAAAATGTGCACATGTTTAATTATTAGATTAGATTTATATAATTAGGATTGTTGCTATTTGTAATAAACTGTTAATTCCCAAGTAGTGCAAAAAGGTAGTAAATGTAAAGTTATTTAAAAAAAAGTATACAAGTTGTAAAGCCTAAATTTATTTAACAAGTTTACCTAAATAAAAATAAATCACAATGTTTGCAAATGCATTACTAGTTTGTTCGGTGATAGCATTTCAAAACGATAGTATTGTGCCCGACATACTCAACGCGTGTCCTCAAACAACAACCAAAGTATTTATTTATTTTTAACAAGTATTTCAATGTTAAACAATTTAGATTTGACATTTTACAATATGGCACATAAAATACTTGACATCATATTACATAGATTACATTTTCAAACAATATCTCTGTAAATTTGGGCAACAAGTTGACCCCAACACAAGTGAAATCACAGCCGCGAGTAGAGTGGCCAGTAGTGCCCGGATCACTATACACGCTAACTATGTTGGATCTTGATGTTCCCAGCAGGGCTAATCCAGCGCATCGCAGCGTTAAGCACTGGATGGTAATAAATATACCTGATGCAAATATAACGGATGGCTATATATTGGACACATTTCTCGAGTCACTGCCGCCCCGGGGGTCAGGCCTTCACCGATACGTTACACTTATATACCGACAGTCGCATCGTATTGAGGGTCTGGTGCGAAACGATACCATCGAGAGTAGGCTAATGTTCAATATGACCAAGTTTGCTCTGGATAATCAGCTTGGTGAACCTGTAGCTGGTAATTTTTATCACGCTCAATGGGATGAGTACGTAGACGTGGTTGAGACCGATATGATGTTTAGAGGTGCCGGTATTGTGCCCGATGTGATCGATGCCAGTCCTAGGGAGCGGGTAAAAGTATGTATCCATAGTGATTTGCATTTCATACTAGCTGGATTAATTTTGTTCAATTTAATTGCACAGTTTTAACAATATTATTGTGTAAAATAGATTTATTTATAAATATTAAAGTATTCATAAAACATATTGTTATTATGAATTAAAATGTTTAATTACTTTAATCACAGGTCACATTCCCAAATAACATAACGGTAAATCTTGGCACTCATCTTACACCAGCTCAAACCAGCCAACAGCCAGCAGTAGAGTGGCCAACAGTCCAGTGCGCGCTCTACACTCTGGCACTTGTAGACCTGGATGCGCCCAGTCGTGCTGACCCCATATATCGTAACGTTAGACACTGGCTAGTGATGAACATACCGGGCAAACAGATTAGTTACGGTAATATTATAGCCGGGTTTGTGGGACCGGCACCACCTGTTGGCACAGGTGTTCACCGTTACGTGTTTCTAGTTTACGAGCAAAAACAGGGTTATATTGAACCGCCCCCTCGTGATGATGTTAATCGGCATAATTTTAGCATGGAGGATTTTGCTACTAATTATACCCTGGGCGAACCGGTAGCCGGCAATTATTTTTTGTCAGAGCATTAATAGCGAATTAAGTTTAATTGGTTATATTTAATACAAGTCACATTATATTTTATAAAGTTACTGAATGTATATTAATCTTATTGAATAATATATTATATTGAAATAAGTGTCCTTATAAATGGGTCTGTGTTATTGCATCAAACTATTGTTATAAAAATTAATTACTAATTCATATACTACATTATGTAACTTGTTTAAATACAAATATAAGGATCCTCATTAAAAATAGACCGAGTTAGATTTGCGATTACTCTGGAACCATTGAGGTGATAATATTGAAACTTCACACGTATAGAGTTTTTCATTAAAAATGGAAATAATTAAATAACTATAAAATTAATATTGATGCCCCGATTCTAATCAGATAAATTTTTAAATATTTAAATGTATTGTAAGATTACAGTAACCAAATCTCATTTAATTATATCAAGCCAGTTTCCCGTAATTAATTTTTAACTGTGAAATATTTTCCCGCGCTTTCTCACTACCCTGTCCGCGGAAAGATTTTTGAAGATTACCGATTAAATTTATAATTTTAATTACATGCTAACCTCTAAAATCATTAAAATGGTTGTTTTATACAAAAATATTTCGATTAAAGTGATTTTGGTCACTGTCTATATTGGATATTTTTTCGGTAAATTTACCGATTTTCGGGTTCGGGTGAGCATTTGACCACGTTAATAAATTTTCCCATTGCTGTAATTTTTAGAATCTTTTGACACATAGGGTATAATTAATTTCATTAATTAAATTTGTCAAAATAGTGCCGAGAAAAGTGTCCAGGCAAGTGTCTTCCGAAGCTGGATTCGGGACTTGAGCTATTCAACTACTGACCATTGAAAATGGTTATTTTAGACATAATTTTATATGTTATAACACATTAAATTAAAGGTCTAGTGTTGACCTAGCTAATACAACTTCAATAATCATGATCAAATATAAAATACCATTAATTTAATTTACTATTCAATTTATAAATTATTCCCATTTTTATTGAAAAACTCTATACATAGATCAACGTCGGGAAGTATATTGAGGTTGAGTTTTTAAGGATTTTATGGCTAAAACTTGATTTTCCAATTTACGATTTTTTGCGTTTAAAATGAGATTTTTAAAAAATTCTTTTTACTAACATTATCAGCACTTAATGTAGTATTGAATGATATAATTAATTGTAATCAAATAGTAAAAAAAATTTCAGTCCCATTGGTTAACATGCAAAAATTGTCTAAGTTTGCTAACCTGTAGTATAAAAACCAGCAATCCTATAATAACGGTTTAAAGTTTATTCAACACTTTGACATCTGCTCTACATACCCTCATCCCCACCCCACCCTATAATAAACATGGTAGTCACAAACTATGGGTCTCGCATATGCTCCAATTTCCAACGAAAATAGTCACGTGATTAAAAAAAATTTAACCCTCAATATACTTCTCGACGTTGATCTATGTACGTGTGAAGTTTCAATATTATCACCTCAATGGTTCCAGAGTAATCGCAAATCTAACTCGGTCTATTTTTAATGAGGATCCTTATATTTGTTTATGCAAACAATTATATTAATATGTTTGAATTTATTTAATGTTGTTAGTTAATGTAATAAATGAATTTTAATGGAGTAACTAAGTTGCATTATGTTTAAAAGTTATAAAACCGTTATTTAAAAATTATTACCATGAACAACTTGTTCGCTTAATAATAGTCATATTGTGCCTATGTAATTGATGTTAGTCCAACTGGACGCATTAAGTTAATAAATAAAACATGAATGTAGAAAATTATTTCTAAGGCACGGTCCAATTATTACAAGTTAGAGTTACATATCAGTGAATTGGCATTATGATTAAATTATATGTAAAGGTATTCTCAATTGCGTGAAAAAACTTTAATTTTATTTAAAACTTTTATTTTAAATTTAAGCACAAGGAGTGCGAAACACACGAGGAGTGTGTTTGAGGTTACATTTTTGTATACTCTGATTTTAGGTATAGTAAGTTTGGACATTAAATAGGGTCAAAAGTGGGTCACTTTTGGTACAGTGTTTTTGTCGGCAGTGTTTGAGAGGGAAATATGGGTTACAATAATGGACTTATGGTCTAAAATTAAGGTGAATTGAATTTCACAAATAAATGCAAAAATAAATATAAATAAAATTATTGGGAATTTTAGTTTATACTTTATATATATTTACAGTTTTTTGTTCATAAATCATTAGCCATATATTTAAGATACACTATTTAGATACTGTATACAGAACACATTTTAGGGTGATTTATTTATAAATGTAATTGATTTTGCAAATTAAATTAAATTAATATAATTACAGACAATTTTATAAATGTTTTTAATTTTAACTACGATATTATATAAAATCAATTAAATTTTATTGTAAATTAATTAGCATAACTTAATAGCATATACTTAGACAAGGTGATATCATTATGTTTCCCAACGTTTTATATCACTATACAAACTATTAATATTATAAATTATACAAACTGTAACAAATAAATAATAAATATAGTGTTGTATTATATTTGTTTTAGTAAATTATACATTTAAATATTTCCCAAATATAGTTGCCTAATGCTATTCAATTTAATAATTGACAATGCAATCATCATAATCTAAACAATGTCTTGTTAATAATATGATTAATAATTGGTAAAAAATGGGAAATATTTTTTGATTTATTAATTGATAAATTTTTTGTTTTATTGTGTTATTTTAATGTTATATATCTAGCATCATGCAATAGAATATACTTAATTAAAAGACTATACAATTTTGTATAACAACTAAATATTGATTATTGATTTATATTATATATAAATATCTGTACATTAGGGCATTTTATAATGGAGAGTAGGTACAATTTTAAAAAGCTTGTTTTAAAATATGTTCACAGCGTTAATAATAGTTGTATTTGACCTTGGCAAGTACTCACTTACGAGTTAGCTTAAACATAAAAGTATATAAATATTCATATGTTTTAGCATCATATTATTCAATAGTTAAATTGTTTTAAAGTTAACATGATTTCTTCAAAGATTTATTTAACTATTAGCATTCTTGTGTTAACAAAAATATTAACAGTTAAATGTTTAACATGTTCATTACCTGCATTTGAGCAAGATAAAATTGTGCCCGATGTACTCGATGCGTGTCCGCGCTATACCCTTAAAGTAAATATCCATAACTATTCTAAACCAAATAAATCGTAATAAATGTTTTATTTTAAAATATTAATTTTTACCAAGATAACATTCCCAAGTAAAGCCAGTGCTAAACTAGGCAACGAGCTAACCTTAGCGCAAGTTAAGGACGAGCCCCGGGTAGTGTGGCCAACAACATGTGGTTCACTGTACACGTTAGCCATGATGGACGCCGACATACCCGTAACCCTGCGCAGCGCTAAGCACTGGCTGGTTGTGAACATACCTGGCAATAATATTACCGACGGTGATATATTGGCCGGATTTATACCGTCGGGTCCACCTGAGGGGTCAGGTATTCACCGGTACGTTACGGTTGTGTACCGACAGCCCCATCGGATTGATGGCCTGATACGTAATGATACCATAGAGAGCAGGGTCAGTTTTGATGTGACAAAGTTTGCCCGCAATTACAAACTTGGCAAGCCATTGGCCGGTAACTTTTATCACGCTCAATGGGAAAAATCTTCAGCTTAGGCCAATGGCATTACATGTAACAGAGCATGGTTAATATTTAATTGTAATATTGGTATATTTAAATATTAAAGTGAATGAAAATAAATGAATTTAAGCATGTTAATTAATGGTTTAAAATGTCGCTAATACTGTATTATTAAATAATTTCAAAATAAAATTGTTGTTAATCATGTTAAATTATAATTCAATTATTTATTATACAGTATTGGATGTTTTATAAAATTGTTGTTAATCATGTTAAATTATAATTCAATTATTTATTATACAGTATTGGATGTTTTATAAAATTGTAAACTAATTTATAATATGTTTGATTACAACACAAATGATATTATTTATTATAAAAGAAACTGTAATTGAAACATAAAAATTTTAATATTATAATTTACAAGGTTTGTAAAATATACCTTATTGGGAATCCGTAAAATCATCCTGTTTTATTCATTTAAATTAAATGGTTATTATTTTTTGCTGACTTACATAAGTTAATAATTATAAATTATGTTGTACATAATTGTATATTATGTTTTTAAAATTAACCATGGAAGTTTGTTCGTGTTGCAATATAGCTTCGCAATTGGAGCTGATTATCAATAAAACAATTGGATCATTTATTAATAAAATATGGTGCATTATTATAAATTAGTAATTTATTAACAACCCAGCCTATCAATCATATCAAGTGTAAATAGAATTATTATAAATATAAAATGTAACCAATAAATAAATATTTTAGATATGCAATGTTTAAAATTATTTATTTTTAGTTTAAATATTTTTAAAAAATAGAAATCAATAAAATGTTTGAATTTAATAAATAAATAGTACACTCGAATCTCTATATATGAAACCGCATCTCAAAATGAAACTATTAATAATGTTAATAAAACGCGGCGTTTAAATCACATATATAAGATCGAGGTTAAATAGAATTATATAAAAAATACAATATTTCCTAGCAAAAAAATGATCCAAGGTAAAACATGCTGCTCATAATAATCATGAATGATGGTTACAATGATTGCCGTTACAGTGTAGCATCTCTCTCAATTTGCCGATCTCGTCACGCAGTGTATTCACTTCGGCCCTGAGCTTAATATTCTCCTCTTCCAAATAGCATAACCGGTGACCCGACTGTAGTTCCTTCACTCGTCTCACTTCACGCGATCGTTTGGCCGACTCGTTGTTTCGTTTGCGTCGTTCCCAATATCTAGGTAAATAATAATGACCATGATTATACTATTATATACTATAAATAACATTTTACATTATTGTAATGAATAAATAAAATTCTAAAAATTGAACTTAAATCTAAACAAATTGTTTTTAATTTATTGTTCTATGTTGAAATTTATCATTTAATCTTTGAGT